AAGTGTGCTAAAGGCGATAAGATGCTATGAAGTGACACAAACCTGAAACATGGTAAGCAGCGAATACCAGAGATAATCAAAAGTTGTCGCGGATTCTGGTATGTCTACAAACAAAAAGATGGATAAGGAATGAGCTTATAGGAAAAACTCACCATACAGTTCTGAAATGGTGGACATACGTAGCCGCCAGCAGCTTTTTTGTCACAAAAGCGCATGGGATAAGCAAGTTGCTTGTCCGCTGTTCGAAAGCACCTGCCCAAGAGGATTTTGATTTCACGTGATAAGAACTATCAAGATTACCTTTGATTCATCGAGCTTTGCAAGAACTGCGTGCCGAGTAGAGAATAGAAAACCAACTGAAAAAACGTCAAAAGGATAACGTTTTGGAGAGGACCAACGCTCTTTTTCACGGCCGCCGTGATGGCCTATTGTCAAGTGTTAACAGTGCACAGATCAGCCGAAAGGAGATTTACAAACCATACTATGACATCGGCAAAAAATGAGACGTGCTTCAACGCTAGCAGGCCCCGAAACACGCGGAACACGGCTGTCCGCGCGAAAAAATCATGTCCAGTTATGCACCTCCCAAAGAGCTGGGGAAACACTTACGACCATCAAGTACAAAAGCTCAACATTACCGGGAATCGAAAACAATGACAAAGTCGAGCCTATGGATTCCACATGTAGCAGTGACGACCTCTGGTAAAACCAAGAGCCGAAATTTGTAAAACCATTTCAATCCTGCAAACACAAGTGTGACGAGAAACAAGGATGGTAAACTTCTATCCATGTACTGATTGTAGAGAAGCCTAAAAATGTATAAGCGTGACGGGCTGTAGAGGCCACAAATTCCAAGCGCAGTGCCCTCCATTCTTGCTCCAGTCCTGACAGCACTCCGCCTCGCCTTTCTTCCAATATTCTAGAAACAGAACATAAGAACTCTCCAAAGTCAAAAGAAGTGAAGTTACCATGAGCCTCTTGATCGCAGTGTAAGCCCTCTTGCAGTTCTTGGTTGCCCGGGAATCGGGAATCGCTGGGGCCAGTTGATCCAGTGCGGCAATCAATGCGGCAGATAAAGACGATGACACTGCTCGGTCGCGATCCGGTGCTCCTTTGCTCAATCGGAGGCAGCCATGTCGGATGCGGAGCTATGAAATCGTGATCTTCTTGCGGGACGGGATCACTGCAAGAAGTATTTCCAGGCGATCGATCAATCACTAGCTAAGCTACATTATGCCTCTCAGAAAACTACTCAAACATGCATTCAACCATGACAAAGTAAGTTAAAATAGAGTTCAGCGAACAGGAGAGATAAAAGTTTCCATTGTGTCGTACGAGCCGTTATAGGACATCCTGATGTAGAGGGCGATCGTCATAGCTTGCGTCGCCGCCTCAGAGCGCTCATCCACCGGCGAACTCCCTCCGCCAAGAGCCCCCTAATCCAAAAACGCGTGATACCATAATAGCCTTTTCTCCTTGCGATCGTTTTCGTTTCACAGAAGGAAGAATAAAGTATAGGAGAAAAAACTCCTCTGCATTGATAGCTTGGATCGTATAACTGCCTGTAGTTCCAAGCCTAACAGACGTAGTTCCCATGCAGCCGGAGCTTTCTCAGCTGTGCAGCATTTGGTCCGAGAGTGCTTGGCCACAAAACCCGAGCTCCAAAGCCTGAAAGTAAAAATGAGAGTGCTTGGCCACAAAACCCGAGCTCCAAAGCCTGAAAGTAAAAATGTTATGCATTATATGCTTTATTTCGTTAAAGTGGGACTTATTCAGTAAAGTGGGACATTAATTAGCATGTGTTCACATGCCATTTCCTAGTACTTAATTAATATTTATTAATATTTCTATCAGTTTTTTAATTTATTTTTTTATATTTCACAATATTATAACACAAAATCATATGAAAAGTTTTTAATTTATAAATTATAAAGTTAAAATTTCAATTTTTTATTGTTGTTATAAAAATGGCATGTGGCCACACACCATAAGTGGGATAATGAAAAGTCCCACTTTAGCATTTATAGGCTTGAAGAGAGAGAGAGTAACCTGGACTCCATCGAGGGGAGAGTTCTCCATCAGCTCGGTGAACTCCTGCTCCAACATTTGCTGCAATCCGGAAGTTTCTGCACTGCCTTGCTACAAGCTCTTATAGCTTGGACGTAATGCACCGCTTTAAAGCCTTGCGCTCCCCTTCCAAGCGACGTGATCGATTTTCTGGCAGAGAGAACAGCGAAAGAGGGCCAATCTATGTCGGGAGAAGCAGTCCCTGATGGTTCCCACTGGATGATATTTGGAGGCGGTGGCGCTTCCGCAAGATCATCCATGATATCCTCGTCGCCGTCAATCTGAGCTCTTCTTTGTTGTCGGCGTTGTACCGCCCATAGAGCCGAGCAGTCTCATCTCGCTCTAGCATCGCCGCATACAAACATCGTTCCAATGCTGCGTAGAACAAACGGATCGAGCGCACGCCTCGGCACAAGCATCCAAATCCGAGACCCCACACAAAGTGACGCACGAATTGGGCGTCACATCCTTTGCAAAGCTGCCCACTCGCTTCATCATCCGATCCGATGCGCACACACGCTTGCAAGCGAATCGATCCTGGGAATCCAAATCCTCCTGCTGCTGCTCACTCTCATCAAGCGATGATTGCTGGCGCCGCCATCTCTCCGCAATGCCACCGCCGCCGGATCATCGTGGCGGAGCCTGTGATTCCCAGTAACCCTACGGCCTCCTCCTTGCCCCTAGGGTGTAGATTATATTACGCTATGTGGATACAAGGAAAGAAAGAATATCCACTTGCTAATTGTCGAAAATTCACTTTTAGTTGCTACGGTTAGACGGTTGTTTTAAAGCAATGCCAGACCGAATCGTGCCAAACCCGAGAAAGGATAAGAGCCTCACGTCACATAGCTAGACAACGCTCTTAAAGAATTTTAGGCCCCTTTTTTTTCCACACTGGAGCACGGTGTCAATGGGAGTCGAACCCGCGACCGTTGCTAATAGCTGTCAGGATTCGAACCCGCGATGTTCTCCAAAGGCGGTAGAATGGTAAACCCGGTTGGACACGGCGGATCAACAACGCGCAGATCAACAAGGTCCCATCGATCCAATCGAGCCTCTGGAAGTGTCCAGGAGAAGGACATTTGCTCCACGCGTCCAACTACATGACTGCCAACCTGGAGACCACGTGACGACGTAAGAACTGTGCCATTTTAGCTGAAGCGGACACGATTTTTCGATCATGGAGGTTGTGAGCGGCTTGGTGAGGCCGCTGTGTGTCTTGGGTATGGACGCTGCCAAGAAGGTATGGGACTGCAATGCCAACATTGAAAGGCTGGAGAATGCCATGGCACCCCACATCCAGGCCAAGATCAAAGCTTTCAGTGAGCACAAGGAGCGAAATGGACCTGGCTTTATGTTCTCTGAAGCGGCTCCCTCTCGCTCTGGAAGTGATTGGCAGTGCCATGGCTGTCCACAGAAGTGAAGGGCCACATGTGTGGGAAGAACGATATAAAAGGTTGCACTTGTCCAATGATCCAGACGTTGAGAAGCAGATGTTCAAGCGCTTGAAGTTCAGCTATGACGAGCTGGGAAACTATGAGGGTGAAAAGCTGCAAGAGTGCTTTCTCTATGTGGCCGCATTCCCAGAAGATAGGTGGATTGGGTTTACTGAGTTGAGGAACTGTTGGATGGAGGTTGGGTCAGAACTCTCACCCACAGCGATTGTCAATGAACTGGAACGGAGATGCCTGGTGAAGATATCTAAGTCTTGGAGGGATGAAGAAGCTCCTGGTTATATAACAGTACACGATATGCTACGCAAACTGTGCATAAGAATCTTAAAAGGGAAGTACAGCCCACAGCAAGAGCACGAGAAGGGATGCCTGTTTGGATATGAGTGGACAAGTGGCATTCAGGATGCAACATTTGCTAAAGTCTCACTCATCTCAAAGAATGTTGGCAGCTTTCTATCCGATAATCATGTGCGAGATGTCTTACTTCTGGATGAGTGTGAAGGACTTTCTAATGTGGATGACAGTCTTATCGATCACATACAAGGTGTCAAGGTATTGAGCTTGTGGCGATGCTATGAGATCCGTTTTATTCCAGAGAGCATTTCCAAGCTGAAAAACCTTCAACTGCTTGACATTCGAGAAACAGGAGTGAGTCAATTACCAGATGCGCTTTTCAGCCTGACATCACTGAAATATCTAAAATCTACTCAGTGGATGCCGATAAAATGTAACATTGCATTACTGCCCCAGCTCTCCAACTTGGAAGAGCTGGAGCTGAACGTGATTCAAAAGAGGACCCCTCAGTTGTGGATTTCACTGGAATTTCGCGTAAACTAAGACTTCTAGAGCTAAGAATGATAGATGGTACAATGAAGGTTCCAGAAAGCATGGGGAAGCTGGAGCACATTGAAACATTGGATTTACATGCGAAGTGCATCGACTTTGTCAGTATCGTTGGGCTATGGGAACTTGTCAGCCTAACAACTTGTAAAATTTGTGTGCAATCCGTTAGTAGAGCTCCCTGGAAGCGAATGTTTAAGAAATCAATCAGGCTTAAAGTTTTTTCCATTACTGGGGTAGAAGACAGTGAAAATAATGATGACACCTTCGAATGGTTGCAACTACGATATTTAAAAATCCGTGATATTATAAACCTATCTTGGTTGCCCAGAAACACTTGAAATTGACTGCAGTGGTATCCACTTGTTCAACCTGGATGGATCATTCCCACGTCTTGAAAAGCTGTATCTTACTCATCTACACATTGCACAGTCAGAATTCAAGGATGATTTGGCTGCCAGTCTTCCAAATCTGAAGCAGTTGGACTTTTGGCTAGCTCCTGATATTGAATGGGAGCACTTGCCTCTCTTTGTGACACAGCTCCCCAATCGCCTCAAGCATCTGAGCGCAAGTGGTCTCATAAAGAGACTTTTGTTGCCAACCGAGAGGTCATCACTTCAGGTTAAAGATCTTTTCGTATCGAGCAAGAAGATGCAAAATGATTTCTTTGAGCCATCAGATCAAATGACTGATATAGAAAATGTGACGTTGAGCTGTAATGAGACTATCGTTCCATCGTCCATTGCATCGCTGCCATGTTTGAAACGTCTTCACGTTTCCGGGCGAAGCGTGATACATAACGATGCACTGTGGTCCCACAATCACAGCCAGGGCGCATTTCCCAGGCTGGAAGAGCTACACTGCCCGAAAGGCATGAAAATTCCACCTTGGCTTGAGGACCGCCCCAATCTCAAGAACAAAGTTTTAATTTCCAAAGCGTTTTGGTATCGGAACGCCTGTAGTTCGACTTATTGCTCCTCTAAATCAATATATAAAACAATGCGACCGTCTTCCACCACGTCCCTGGCAATCTCTAGCACCTCGGGTTTGCTCCTTGTCGATTCCAATTCTTGCTGAGCTGCTACCTCGGTTTTGCTCACAGCAGCACCACCTTTGCCGGCTCTTATCCTCGCCAGGAAACCTCTCACGAGAGCCTGCATTTTCGTCGCAGCGCCCTGGATGTACACGGCCTGGATCCGCTTCTCACGCTCGATGCGCAGAGTGAGAGGCAACCCCTGCATTAATCCGGGTCAAATGTAAGTATGAAAAGCTTGGAATAGCAGCTACTTAACAGTTGTCCGATCTTATACAGCGTCAGCGTTTCCAGCAGCTCCTTGAAAGGGATTCCTTTGTTTGGAACTCGAAAACTCATCACCTCGTACTCTGCTCTCATGTACCTGACCAGAACAAAGAAAAAACGAGTGAGAGACAGAGAGAGATTGCGAGGAACACGCCAAACCATTGGGTCGCGTATTTGTAGCGCCGGCCCAGCGGATCACCGAGGGCGTTTACAAATCGTCACAGCTTGTGCATCCCAATGTATCCCGTAGCACTGGACGATTGTAAAGTTAGTTCCACAAGGACTTGAACGTAATTAAGTGGCTTACTTGGGATCGAATGGTTCTTGGCTCCACAAGTTTCGATATGCTAACAGGTGCTCCGGCATGACCATAGAGTTCTCGTTCACAAGGCCGAAGGGTACAGCGTCCAGTATGACAGCCACAAACAAGTTCATGAATATGTGACTCCTGACCAAGACCAAGAAGGTGAAGAAGATAATCCCGCCCTCTGGATAGCCACAATCGAGCTTGAAAAGATATGGTTTAAGTCGATACTATTGTGCTAAGCTTTGTTTTCCTTTGAAAAACTACCTAAGCTGTTTAGTTTGGCAAATCATCGCCGAGTAGTGTTTTACCGTTAGTGCAGGCGGGTGCATCAATTGTGGTATCCATCATAACGCAAGACCAGTTATCAGGAGCTGTAACCTGTAAAAGAAAAGAGAAACTGAAAGTCATAGAAAAGCAAGCCTTTACCTGAAACACCGTGATGAAAGCGTTGATGAAAGTGCGAAAGTTGACAGACGGGCCAATGCAGGTCCCTTCCTTCATTGCACTGAAGAGTTGGAATGCCATCCCCGCAAACATATACATGAAAATTGCGAGAAGAGCGAGTATCTCAGCTACAGTTGGCAAACAGATGAATAACCCGTGCTCTCGCTACGTGAGGAATGATGCCAAAAACTCGAGCAATGTAGGCAGTGCAGCCGACATAGTCCCCTCACCGTTCCCTTCTTTCCCATGAGACCAATGGCGGCCATTATGAAGAGTCCAAACTCCATCTGCCGTGCAACCTCTTTCTTATAAACCTTCCACCGGAGAAAGGAAAAACCAGGTGGTCAAACAAAAAACAATCGAGAAAAAGATGAATGAGGTACCTCGTCGCCAAGGAACTTCATCACGGATTCAAGCAGGAAATATGTTGTAATCGCACAGTGAGCCATCTGACGCCGGTCCGAAACATCTGCCGACAACCCAGCATAGTTAGTCGCAAGTAGCCCGGAGTAGCCAAGGAGTGCGAGGATCATGCACTTTTGATATGTCGGATTGCGAATCAAGTAGAAGCACATCCCCCGGATGGGATTGCTTGGTCGTCGAGCCAGCGGAATAGCACAAGTTTTCTGGATGATACGGTTCATGTCCCTCCACAGCTTCTGCTTCTCTGTGAGAAGAACTGCTCCAGAATTTTTTCCAAACTCGTTGATAAACACCCCGATGAAAACTCTGACGATATAAAACCCCCCGATACAGCAGAATGCCACGAAAAACAAGGCGTTGACAGGACTCGCGTTCCGAACAGGCTGGTGGTCTTCCCTAGTGATGTCCATGACAGGATACATGAAGTGCGTCAGCCAGTTGTCGAAAGTGGAGCAGACGAACATACTGAGGAGGGCATTCTGGATGTCGTCGAAGTGGAAAACGTTATTAACCCAGGCTCGCGGAGCAAGGATGCCGATGTCATTAACATAGAGGCCGGTACAATATGTTCGGTGCGTGATTGTCGGGTCATTGCATTTCCAGAGAAGGCCCCGAAACTGCTGCAGCCCGATGGTTCCAAATATCAGGAGAATTGAAAATGTGAAGAGAATAACCGACACAATTGCTGGAATAGTCCGAAAAAGATTTGATAATAATGACCTCAGTCCTGTAAACCGAACCACGAAACGAAATGGCCGAAGAGAAGTAAACGCACTGACGGTTGGTATGGAAGTTTCATTCTCAGCGTTATACTTCAGAAGAATAAACGCATCGCATCGGTGACGAGAATAAACAAGTCCAAGATGTTGTACCAGTCACTCAGGTATGCGTCTGGCGCAAAAATAAGTCCCTGTGCAACGATCTTCATCAAACAGTCTAGCAAAAAGACCTGCTCCAAAACAATGTACAATGTCGAGCAAAATAAGGTAAGCATGTGCTTACCACAAAGTTGATCTTCTGCAGATTCCAGATGAAATCGGGGACAATTATCGGCTCTCCATCATCTCGCATCTCAACTACGAGCCAAGTATTGATGACCATCCAAACTATCACAAACCACAAGTACGGTTTACTGCCGAGGATCTTCCTAGACAGGATCCTTATCGTGTTGCCCTCTCCAAAAGAAGAAGCGACCTTCTCGCAAGTACCACGGTCTCTGTATGGTTGTAAGAGTTCTCTCGAGCTCTTCGTACTCCGCAAGCTGGAAAGATTTCCTGTTGCTAGAGGCCCTGCTTAGATTTCTGCCAATTTTTGGACTGCTGAGATGGTAAGCAGCGAATACCAGAGATAATCAAAAGTTGTCGTTCCATGGTTGGGATTCTCGTATGTCTACAAACAAAGAGATGGATAAGGAATGAGCTTATAGAAAAAACTCACCATACAGTTCTGAAATGGTGGACATACGTAGCCGCCAGCAGCTTTTTTGTCACAAAAGCGCATGGGATAAGCAAGTTTCTTGTCCGCTGTTCGAAAGCACCTGCCCAGGAGGATCTTGATTTCACGTGATAAGAACTATCGAGATTACCTTTGATTCATCGAGTTTTGCAAGAACTGCGTGCCGAGTAGAGAATAGAAAACCAACAGAAAAAACGTCAAAAGGATAACGTTTTGGAGAGGACCAACGCCCTTTTTCACGGCCGCCATGATGGGCTATTGTAAAGTGTTAACAATGCACAGATCAGCCAAAAGGAAATTTACAAACCATACTATGCCATCGGCAAAAAATGTGACGTGCTTCAACGCTAGCAGGCCCCGAAACACGCGGAACACGGCTATCCGCGCGAAAAAATCATGTCCAGTTACACCTCGAGCAATGATATGTACCCTGCACCTCGCAAAGAGCTGGTGAAACACTTACGACCAACCTCAACATTACCAGGAATCGAAAACAATGACAAAGTCGAGCCTATTGTACGGATTCCGCATGCAGCAGTGACGACCTTTGATAAAGCCAAGAGCCGAAATTCGTAAAACCATTTCAATCCTGCAATCAGAAGTGTCAGGGGAAACCTCGAAGAGGGAAACAACGATTACGTATAAAGCGCCGTGATGAGCCCGTCCAGGAAATCGATGTTGAAACTCCGGACGTGTGTCTATCGTTCGTGCCTAGACCCAGCCATCGCTTGAAAGATAAGCACTACCATATGGGAGCATATAAGAAACACAAGAACATACTCGGCTCTCCTGCCACCAAAGCCTGTTAGAGGAAGGATGATAAACTTCTATCCACGTACTGATTGTAGAGAAGCCTGAAAATGTATAAGCGTGACGGGCTGTAGAGGCTCCAAATTCCAAGCGCAGTGCCCTCCATTCTTGCTCCAGTCCCGACAGCAGTCCGCCTCGCCTTTCTTCTTATATTCTAGAAACAGAAAATAAGGACTCTCCAAAGTCGAAAGAAGTAAAGTTACCATGAGCCTCTTGATTGCAGTGTAAGCCCTCTTCCAGTTCTTGGTTGCCGGGGAATCGGGAATAGCTGGGGCCAGTTGATCCAGTGCGGCAATCAATGCGGCAGACGAAGATGATGACGCTGCTCGATCGCGATCCGGCGCTGCTTTGCTCACGCCGTGAATCGGAGGCAGCTGATCCCGAGCTATGAAATCGTGATCTTCTTGTGGGACGGGATCACTGGAAGAAGTATTTCGAGGCGATCAATCAATCACTGCATCAGCTAAGTTATGCGTCCGGCGCCTACCTCTGCGTGAGCTTCGTCATAGCTTGCGTCGCCGCCTCGAGAGCGCTCATCCGCCGGCGATGGCCGTCACCGCCAAGAGCCCTAAAATTCAAACTACCTAACCACGAGAGCCTTTTCTCCTTGCGATCGTTCTCGTTTCACAAAAGAACGAAGATCACAGTATAGGAGAAAAAATTTCTCTGCATTGATACCCTCATGACCTTAGACACTCGCTCTGGCATCGCCGCATACAAACATCGTTCCAATTGGGGACGTGATGCTGCGTAGAACAAACAGATCGAGCGCATGCCTCGGCACAAGCATCCAAATCCGAGACCCCACACACAGTGACGCACGAATTGGGCGTCACATCCTTTGCAAAGCTGCCCACTCGCTTCATCATCCGATCCGATGCGCACACGCGCTTGCAAGCGAATCGATCCTGGGAATCCAAATCCTGCTGCTGCTGCTCGCTCTCATCGAGCGATGATCGCCGGCGCCGCCATCTCTCCGCAATGCCACCGCCGCCACTCTTACCGCTCTTGCCGCGCCGCCACTGCCGGATCATCGTGGCGGAGCCTGTGATTCCCAGTAGCCCTAGCCCCAGCCCCACCGCCGCGCTCCACCACGAGCCCTCCACCATTCTTGCTACTCCAAGCTTGCCCTAGAGTATCCGCGTATATTCTCGTGTGTAAAGTAGATTCTATTTTGGTAAATTGTCAAAGAGTTATCAAATACTCGTAGAGCTTTTTGGCTTTTGCCCGGAGGAGATCATCCTCCTATCCGCGCCATGTACCATGTCGCCCTCTCTCCATCCCGTTCGTTGGATCGTATCGATTTCCAATATACAAGGAAAGAAAGAATATCCCAGTGGAGCTCTCCCTGGTTGCGGTTTTGTTGGCCCCACCAGGGCTGCCATCCGCACGTGGGGCGGTCCACTTGGGCGGTGTATACAGTGTAGACACAGTGTTATCTTACTTCTTAAGACGCGATACACATACTTAATCGAATTAGTTGCTCGGGTTAGTCTAATCACTTTCGCCGTCACGGTTGTTTTCGCGGGCTTTAAAGCAATGCAAGAGGGCACGGCCTCGAGTCGTGCCAGCTCCGAACCAACACTAAACCCGAGAAAGGAGAAGAGCCTCACGTCACATCGCCGAGGCCCCCTCAAAGCTTGGGCATAGACAACGCTCTTAAAGAATTTTATCCACACTGGAGCACGGCGTCAATAGGAGTCGAACCCGCGACCGTTGCTAGTAGCTGTCAGAGACGGATTCGAACCCCGGATGTTCTCCAAGTCCGAGCTGGCAGGCGGTAGGGTTTGAACACTGGACTGGATTGTAAACCCGTTTGGATGGTAATACCCCGTTCACACGGCCTTCACGGCGGTGTGCCTGTGTTTGCCATGCCAGGAGAAGCGCAAGGGGGACGGAGCTAGCTTTGAAGACGCGACGACGCGGGGCGGATCGGGGGTTTGTGGATCGCTGCCGGGCTATTGGAGCTTCCAGCGCCTGGATGAATGGAGGTTCTAGCGGCCAGTTCTTAGGATTACCAGGGAAATATCGGCGCCAGGGTAGCTAGGAGCCGTCGGCAAGGCCGGGAGATTCCGTCCGAGCGAGCGGCGGTGGGGAAATGATGAGGATGATCCAATCTTGATCGGCGGCATTCTCGTATTCCGAGAATCGAGGCGCTGCGCGCGTCTGGTTCCCGGCGCTGGCATCACATCGAAGGGTATTGTGGATATTTCGGAGCTGCTAGTCTCGATCCGGTTCGTGGCGCCCCAAATTTCCTGGCGTCTTCCGCGCGGCCGATGCATGACGACGGTGTAGCGGCATCGGGTGTCGACAAGAACGCTGCTGATCACTATTCCAGGTCTCGCGTTTTCATGTGTACAGGAGGATTGGACAGAATTGATGAGGAGATAGATCGCTCGCCGGTATGCTCAGCAGGCGCTATGATCCACCGTTACCAGTAAAACATCCTACTGGAACACCGCCAACGCGCAGATCAAGAAGGTTATGTATTCTCCTCTACAGGAAGAAGACTCGCAGCTTGTGCTACCACCGCTTTGAGCAAGACCAAGATCGCCGCATCGATGTCGCAGCCAGGAATTGGCATGGGAGGAGCAACGGGGCCGTTTGGAGACACCACTTACACCAAGGTCTTTGTGGGGGGATTGGCATGGGAGACCCAAAGGGATGCCATGCGCCGCTACTTTGAGCAGTTTGGAGAAATCCTGGAGGCGGTCGTCATCACGGACAAGAACACAGGGCGATCAAAAGGATATGGCTTTGTAAGTCTTGTTTTTTTCTCTCCTTTGCTCTTCCCTTTTTTTCCATGCATTTTTTTCTTTCTTCGTTTTTACTTACGCTACTTAAACTCATTCAGGTGACCTTTCGTGATCCCGAAGCGGCTCGGAGGGCCTGCGTTGATCCGGCTCCCATCATCGATGGTCGTCAAGCCAACTGCAATCTGGCTTCGCTTGGTGCCCGTGCTCCTCGTCCGCCATTTACATATCCAGGTTTGTCAAACGCTTTGAAATGTAGCTAGCATGACGCTTGGAAGGATTATATCCATATCAACGTTGTCATGTCATGGATGATGTAGGAGCTCGTTTCCGGCCTATGAGGCCTGCTGCTTCTCCTCCACACCCCGGGACCCCCTCATACCCTGTGGCTCCGTCATTCCCCCAATTCGGCCCCTACTACCAGCCGGGCTTTGGATATCCACAGCAGTATGGGTGAGTGAGCTTTTGCTTTTGCAATAGTCGATAGATATCCTAACAGTTCTCCAATGATTTTTCGTGGTTTACAGGTATCATGTTCCAGACTATGCTTATCAGCAGGTTAGTTCGAGGTTTAGTGGTGTACTGCCGATATCTTATTTATTAAATTCTAATTGCAGGGACTGTATCCTTTTGGTGGTCCTCAGTATTCCACATTTTATACTGGACCTGGTACACCCACAGCTGTGTACTCGTACGGCGGGTTTGGGCCACCTTTGCCATCTGGGCCAGGTTATCCTCCACCACAGGGATATGGAAGCATGCAAGGACCACAGTTCATGCAATATGGTGGAACAGTACCGCTTCAGTCTCCCGTGCCTTCCACTGGTATTAAATATTTCTTCTCTTTGCATATCTTGACTCTCCTTGTACTGCAGCGGTATCACCTGGACATTCCGGAGGAGGAACTGGAGCCTCTACTCCGTCTCCAATGCAGCAGTTTTCTCTCCCTTCTCCTTCTCAGCCACAACCTCAATTTTCACAGGCGGGAGGTTCGTGATTATTTCATTTTGAAGCTGAGCACAATCTGTACAATCTCTGCAAGCAGTGAAACAACAACCGCACGGCTGGAGTGGGAGGTCGTCGTCACCATGCTCAACTGCATCCCCCCCGTAATCCGAGAGTAAGCATGAGTACTCACTTCTCAGGTTTTGGGGGCCAGGATTCATATCGTCGGAAAACCAGCAAAAACAACAAAAAAAAAACATAAAAACGAAAGAAAAACAGCAACAAAAAAAAAACAACGGTCGGTCACTAGATTAGCTCGTAGAGGGGGGCGGGTGGTTAAAATTCTTTTTCGTCTTCCTTTTTTTCTTTTTTTTCCTTTCGTCTATAATTCATTTTGTCACTTAATCGTTCTGAGGTCGGCGCAACCCGAATTTTGCTTCTATGTCGTCCTAAGATGTGTGTCTAACTTTTGCCGTGTCTTTCTTTCTTACAGGTGAAGAGGTCTGCTGAAACTGATGGTATGTTGGTTCATTCTATTGTCTTTTTTATGTTTCTATCTACTGACTAGTGTCGCTTTTTGACAGCTGAGTTTGAATGGAACGCATTCATTTCACTTGGATTGAAATGCCAAAGTGTTTCATAGCTACAGCTCCCGACGTGACATTCTACTCGTCAAAGTAGTAATCGTTCAAGCATTTGGGACAACAACAGAAATGAAAATCATTTGATATTGCGTCACGGAATCTCTTCGTCCTCCACGGCATTGGAGGCGTGAGTGTTGGAAAGGAGAACATACAGTGCAGGCGTTCTTGGCTGCAGCTGGAAGACATGTTTGGCCACCCGTGCTCCCGTTTGGACGTCATTCTGGCCTTTGCAGCCGCCGAGCAGTGCCATCCACGCGACAGAGTCCGGTTCGAATGGCATCGTGTTGAGCAGCTCTTCCGCCTGGTGAAGCCAGCCTATTCTTGCCAGAAGGTCGATGATGCAGATGTAGTGATCCACAGTTGGCACGACCCCGTGGTCTTCGACTAGTTGCAAGGCTGTGAAGTACCACAGGGCTTCAGTGAGCAGACCTCCGTGGCTACAGGAAGTTAGAATACAGATGAAGCTGGCGCTCTGGGGCTTGTGTCCTTCGACTTCCATGGTCCGGAAGATCTCCAGGCTCTCTTGGAAGAGGCCGTTTTGGGAGTAAGCAGCAACCATCGTGTTCCAGCAAGGGACGTCCCGCTTTGTGAGCCCGTCAAACGCTCTCTTCGCCTCATACAGCCGCGCACAGCGTGCGTACATGGTTATGAGCGACGTGGCTACGATGGTGTTGGAGTGGAACAACTCGGAGTGAAGGATGCTGGAATGGATCAACTTCCCCTCGCGGAGAGCTGCCAGAGTCGCGCAGGCATCGAGAGCGCTGGATAGAGATGCGTGGTCCAGCGGCACCGCTTCCAGGTCCATGACTTTGAACAGGTTGAGAGCATCCAGAGCAAGGCCTGCTTGGGTGTAGGCCGCGATCATGGCGTTCCAGGCGATGGTATCTCGGACAGGAAGACCGTCGAACAGGGCTCTGGCTTGGGTGATATGCCCGTGCCGGGCATAGGCCACCACCAATGCGGTTGCAGAGACAACGTCCCGCTTGGGCATTCTCTGGAAAAGAAGCTCCGCGTCCTGGAGCTGCCCTTCCTCCGCAAAGCCTTGCATCATCGCGTTCCAGGAGGCAACGTCTCTGCACGGTGAAACGTCGAAGGTGGCCTTGGCGGTAGAGAGCTGCCCGTTTTGGACGTAGGCCTGCAGCAGTGCGTTCCAGCACACGAAGTTTCTGTGGGGAACTTTGTCGAAGACGCTCCTCGTCCGTGCCATGTCCCCGGCGGTGGCGTACCCGGACAGCAGCGTGTTCCAGGTAACACCATTCCGGTTTTGCGTCTCGTCAAATAACTCCCTGGCTCTGTGCAGTGCCCCGGCTTTGCAGTACGCCGAGACCATCGTGTTGTGCGCGTGTAAGTCCCTGTGTGGCGTCGCTTCGAACACCCTCTCGGCCTCGCGGAGGTGCCCAGCCGCGACGAGCCCGGCGAGCACCGTGTTCCAGGACGCGGTGCTCCTCTGCGGCATCCTCTCGAAGGCGGCGAGAGCGCTCTGGAACCGCGAGTTGTCGACGTAGCCTTGGATCATGATGTTCCACGAATAGGCGGTTCTCTCCGGCATAGCATCGAAGAGGGTCTTCGCTCTGGCCAGCTCCTTGTGGTTCGCGAGCACCAGGATCATGAAGTTCCAGGACACGGAGGTCTTCTCCGGCATTCGCAGGAAGAGCTCTTTGGCCTCCACGACATGCCCGGTTTGGGCATATGCGGTCATCATGGTGGTGCCGGAAATCGCATCGTGGAAGGGCATCTTGTCAAACGCAGTCGTGGCGTTCGAGACGAGGCCGTTGTGGGCATATGCCTCGACGATGCTGTTCCACGTCACGATGCCCCTCTCGGGCATATTTTTGAACAGGAGCTCCGATTCCGGCATATGCCCAGCCCGAGCATATGCTGTTAGGAGTGTGTTCCACGTCACGCTGGTCCGCGCGGGCATTCGGTCAAAGGCATCTCGGGCGAGGGGAATCTGGCCGTTCTGGGCGTAGGCGAGGATGAGGATATTCCAGGAGAAGGCGTTTGGGTGGGCGAGGCGGTCGAATGCCGTACCCGCGTCGTCGAGGCTGCCGCAGGCGCCGTACATCTGGACGAGGGAGTTGCCGAGGAAGAGGGTGGTGTCTATGGCCGCCGCGGACAGGAGGCGGTGGATTCTCTGGCCCTCGCACAGGGCTCTCGCGCCGCCGCATTGTTTGAGGAGCGTGACATAGGTGGCTGTGTCGGATGCTCGCGGAGATTGTTCTAGTCTGGTTAGAGCTTCCCTCACTGCTGCTATGGTGGTGCTGACACACATTTGTTTGCTAGCTTTGCGCGAGAATCCATGAACGAGGCAAGATCATCGAGGCACCAAATAGGAAATGTGGTGTTTGGAAGTGAGATTTACGTATATGTTGTGAGCGTTCTTCCGTGATCCGCATTACATAATCCAATGTGCCCAAAGCGGGCATATGTGAGAAAGCACAATTCTTCCAGCCTCTTTAGAACTTCTTTCACTCGGGCAAGATCATCGAGAAACCACCGAAAAGGAAAAAATGTTTGAAACTTACGCAGAGATTTACGTACGTAGCTTTCTTTCGCTTTCTTTCTTTCCAACCAAACTGCCATGATCCAATATGCCCAAAGCGGGCATATGTGAGAGGCCAAAGGTGACGCGTTTAGAGCTTCGTTTTAGATCTTCTTTCACTTGCTCATACCAGACATCAATGACAAAGATTTACGTACGAATTGTATGAGCTTTACTGCGCTGCTTCTTTTTCTGCAGTGATCCGCATTGACAAAACTGCCATGATCCAATATGCCCAAACCGGGCATATGTGAGAGCGCCAAAGCTCACAAATTATTCCAGCCTCTTTAGAGCTTCTTTCGCTTGGTGCTCTCGATCTCGTCCAAAGTAATTCTCGCGACTGCTTAAACAGTGTTGAGCATCGAGCAAAGAGAATCACACTTGCAGCTTCGAGTAGATAGACCCACCGGGAAGAGAAAACCATAAACAATACGAGCACAGCCTACGGACAAGGACAAAAAGATTAAATTCCAGAAACAAATGTAAAGAATAGACACTGACGACTTCAAAACAAAAACAAATTGCTGCTGCTCCTGCTGCTGCTGCTACTGTACGTCGCTCGATCTGTGCAGTGGATGCGGTAACGCCACCAATCTTCTCCAGCATTGAAGAGATCTTCCCTCCTCTTTGTCGCTGCTAGGCCGCGGATCTCCGCCCCGACGACGGCGTCGTCGTCGCCGTCCTTGTCTTCACCTCCGAATCATCGGCCTCCAGGAGCTCGTCACCATACTTGACAGTGTCGAGCTTGAGCTTCTTCTCGCTTTCCAGGCTCTCCCCCCGGGGACCCTTTCTCAAGATCTGTACCACCTCGTGCATGGTGGGCCGGTTCTCGGGCGTGTTCTGCGCGCACATCGTCGCGACGTGGACGACGTTCTTGAGCTCCTCCGCGTTGAACTTGCCTTGCAGCTTGGGGTCGACCAGCTCGGTCAGCCTGCCTTGGAACACCAGCGGCGCCGCCCACTCGACGATGGTCCGCTTGGTTCCCGGCCCCAGCTTCTCGATCGGCTTCTTCCCACTGATGAGCTCCAGCAGGAGGATCCCAAAGCTGTAGACGTCGCAGCTCTCCGAGACTTTCCCCCACATCGCGTACTCGGGCGCCAGGTAGCCGAGAGTTCCCTTGACACGGGTGGTGACGTGCGTCGCTCCCTCCGGGACGAGCTTGGCGAAGCCAAAGTCGGCCACCTGGGCTTCGAAGTCGGAGTTGAGCAGCACGTTGCTAGCTTTCACGTCCCGGTGGATGATGTGCGGCGTCGCATTGTGATGCAGGTACCTGGAAAGCATTGCGACCAACGATAAGAGTCAGAGCGAGAGCTGGGATAAAAGTCTGGCTTACTCGAGTCCTTCGGCAGATCCGATGGCGATGTTCATTCGCTTGTCCCAGTCAAGCTGGTTGTCCGGCGCGAACTGACCGTGCAAGTGTGACAAGAGGCTTAGATTTGGCATGTAGTCATACACTATCAAGCGCTCTTGTCCTTCAGCACAGTAACCTCTTAGGCTCAACAGGTTTTTGTGTCGAACTCGTCCAAGGATCTCCACCTCCACTGAGAATTCCATCTCTGCTTTCGTGCTCCATACTTTCAATCTCTTCACGGCGATCTGGCGCAGAGAAAAAACTGGATAAAACAAACCTTGAAAACTTCTCATCACCAATACCTGCGAGCCATCCCAAAGTTGCCCCCAGTAGACACTGCCAAAGCCGCCTTCCCCTAGCTTGTTGTCATAGTTAAAGCTGTTTGTGGCCGAGTGGAGCTCTTTCAAGGAAAAAATTCTCCATTCCTTTTTTTCTGATGATTTTTGCCTGCAGAGCGCAAAGTAACCACAAAGTCTATCATCGGACTTGCATCGAAAACAAGATTACCTGGGAACTCTACCACAAATGCACCGCTCCAAGTACTCCATAAAAGCTCTGGCGAAGCACAAGAATAAAGAAGGAAAAGCTCGCTCACAACAGTAGAAAATCCCGGAGCGCACGATCCTCTCTCTTTCGCAAGTGTTGCAATCTGCCCATAAATAATTACTTTCCTCCTCTCCTGCTGTCCTGAGAAAAACAAAACGAGGCATCAAAAACCCAGCTACGCGCAAATGCATTGTATAGTGACGATCGCTATCGTAAGGCAAGAAAGAAATTAATCTCTAATCGTGCGGGCATGAAGCGCATGAGTGAGAGCTAGCCGGATCGATCGAGACTCTAGAGCACCAAAAATCCGAGCAGCAAACAAGCAAGGCCAGAGAAGCTAACGCAAATGCCTCGATCTCTTGGATCTAGCACCAAAATCACTCGAAATACCTGAAATGTGATACAAGACCCTGCTGGAATCCGCCCGGATCGCCGAGATTTGAGTGAAGCTCCACGAAATATGAGAGATCCAATGCTTGGCGCTGGCGCTGGGCGGGCGATAGACCTAAAGGAAGACTCTCCTCATCCGCGCTTAGGGAAAGACCCAGCCACGGCGAAGTCGGGCTTTCTCTCGCTGGGCTACGCTACCCTCTGACTGACGGCAACCGCATATGCCGAGAACCATCGACCGGAATGGTGACCGTTGGATTCAAATGACCGAATATGCGATGGGATCCTAGGGTTTTAGGGTTTTGGAGCTGGAGCGATGCCGCTGGGCGTGCTCACGGGGTTTCTCCGGGCGAGGCGCGTGCCCAAGAAGGGATTTCTCTCCCTCAGCCCCAAGCGCGCCGAGAAGAACTACTACAAGGGCAAGGGCGTGATCAACTACGGCCGATTGACGAAGAAAGGTATGCCGATTGATCCATCGATTCGATTCTAGTTCACATTTTGCCCTATTCTCTTGCGCAGGAGGATTTAGCGTCCTGCTTCACAAGCTCCCGAAATTCGTCGTGCCGGATCTCACTGGATTCAAGGTCTGTTCTCCATTTCATACATCGCTGCTTGACTGATCGATCGAAATCTTAGCTCAAGCCCTATGTCGCGCACAATGTGCCCAAGATCGTGTCGAAGGAGAAGCTCGAGAAGGAGAAAGCCAGCGCTGGAATCTGAATTGATGCCGTGCGAACATTTCGGTACGCTTGGAGAATATGCCGTCACCCGCGTTAAAATATTCTCATCCATTTAAAAATTTTGACTTTTACCTTTTCTTTCTACCTTTATAGGGCTCGTGTTTGAATGGCACACGCGCATCTTCATCTTGATCAGTGGTGGCTATGGCGGAGACGTGCGCCATTCCAGTCTCGCAGTGGCAATTCCGGATCTCCTCCCCAATCCCGCGCCACAGCGGCGGCATCGGCAGCGCGAATTCCAGGGAGCAATGCGTCGCCAAGGCCGCGGCGGCGGGATCGTTCGTCCTCCACGACGATCAAGATCAAGAATGCAGGTCTGTCGCTGCGATTTCACCTCCTCCCCGGCGTAGATCTGATGCCGCGCCGCTTGTCGGTGAAATCGCGGGGATTCTCGACACCATCCGCGACGTCCGCGAGCTCCCGGACGCTCTAGCGAGGTTTCGCGGCCGATTGACGCCCTTCGCAGTCGGCAAGATTCTCCAGGGCGTCAAGGACGCCGGATCGGCGCTCTTCTTTTACCGCTGGGTGGGATCGCAGGATTTGTTCCGGCACACCACATTCTCGATGAACTGCGCGCTCAATCTCCTCGTCAGGGCCGGGCAGCACGGACAGGCCGTCCAGCTCTTCCGCGAGGAGAGGTGTGTGCCCAACGAATTCACGTATGGATCTCTCATTCATGGGCTGTGCAAGGCCGGGAAGCTGGATCAAGCGTACGAGCTCCTGGACGAGATGAGAGACCGAGGAATTCCTCCCGGGGTGGCCGTCCACAATGGCGTGATCAGGGGCCTGTGCAAGGCCGGGAGGTTTGGCGACGCGCTGGGCTACTTCAAGACGGTGGCGGGCACCAAGTGCACGCCAGACATCATCACTTTCAACATCCTGGTGGACGCTCTCGTGAAATCGGGGAGAGTGGAGGAGGCCTTCCAGATCTTCGAGAGCATGCACACGTCCAGCCAGTGCCTGCCAAACGTGGTGACTTACACCACCGTGATCAATGGGCTGTGCAAAGATGGGAAGCTGGACAGGGCGATCGAGCTGCTGGATCTCATGAACGAGACTGGCTGCTGCCCAAACGTGATCACTTACAGCGTCTTGGTTGAAGGGCTGTGCAAAGCTGGCCGGACAGACAAAGGTTTCACGCTCCTGCAAGAGATGACCAGGCGGGGATTCCAGCCGGACGTGATCATGTACAACACGCTGCTAAACGGGCTTTGCAAATCGAGGAGGCTCGATGAGGCGCTGGAGCTCGTCCAGCTGATGATCCGGAGTGGCTGCTACCCGACGGTGGTGACTTACAACAGCCTCATGGAGCTGTTTTGCCGGAGCAAGCAGGTTGACAGGGCTTTCAGGCTCATACAGGTGATGAGCGAGCGCGGGTGCCCACCGGACGTGATCAACTACAACACGGTGATCGCGGGCCTGTGCCGGGATGCGAGGCTGGACGATGCCCAGGCGCTGCTCAAGCAGATGGTGGCGGCGAGGTGTGTGCCGGACGTGATCACTTACAGCACTATCATCGACGGGCTGTGCAAGGACTGGAGAGTGGACGCGGACTGGAAGCTGGAGGCGGCTTGCGAGATCCTGGAGATGATGAAGCAGACGGGGTGCCCGCCGAATGCTGGAACTTACGCCGTCGTCATCGAGGGGCTGTGCCGGGCCAGGAAGTCGCAGCAGGCGCTCGCGCTGCTGCGGCGGATGATCGACAGCGAGGTGGTCCCGGACTTGTCCTCGTTCAGCATGGTGATCGGCAGCCTGTGCAAGTCCCACGACCTGGATGCCGCGTACAAGATCTTCGGGATGATGAGCGAGCGGGAATGCAAGCCCAATCCGGTGGCTTACGCGGCGCTGATCGACGGCCTCTCGAAAGGTGGCGAGGTGGACAAGGCCGTGCGAGTTTTCGAGCTCATGGTGGAGAGCTTCCGGCCGGGTGTGGCGACTTACAACAGCGTCCTGGACGGGCTTTGCGGCGTTGGAAGGATTGAAGAGGCTGTGAGAATGGTGGAGGGGATGATCCACAAGGAATGCTTTCCAGACGGGGCGAGCTACGGGGCGCTCATCCGGGGCTTGTGTCGCGTCTCGTGCGTGGAGGAGGCGTACGAGCTCTTCCAGGCGGTGGAGGCTAAAGGATTTGCCATGGAGGTTGGAGTGTACAACGTTTTGGTGAACGAGCTGTGCAAGAAGAAGAGGCTGAGCGATGCTCACGGGGTCGCAAATAAGTTGATCGAGGCGGGATACAAGCAGCAAGGATGAAAGAAATAGCATACAATGCAAAGATAACATAGTCAATGAATGTCGAAATCCGTTGACTTTGATTGAATTTGAGTGGATTCTGCGACTCACATCAAGTATCACATTATGTTGCAATTGCGAGAGATATCATACAGTAAATGAATTATCTTTCATGGAATACATATATTCACTAGCTGCATTTTCAAATTGAGAGAGGGATACTCCATGGGATTTTTGTTCATCATCAATGCCAAATCGAGAGCTGTGCTCTCGTACTCATGACGCAACCAGTCCTGAACATTGCTACTTGTTGCTTCATTTATCGAGTGCCAACCCTGAAGTTCCAGCACGTCTCTATGCCTTACTTGACTCAGAGTGCAACCATCGCCACATCCAAGACGACCGTTATATACAGCGTCACTGCAAATATAACAGCCTTTCTCTCTAGTTCTGCAGCTTCATTCACAAGACCCTCCAGCCACGTCACGATGACGATTGCGAGATGGACGAGCGTACACTATGGAGCAGCTTTTGGACGTTCACCTCGTTCTCGGCGTACTGTGGCGTCGCCCAGGGCTTTCGCTTCTCCCTCTTGGCAAGGGCGGGAAAATCTGTTGCTAGAGTTGTGAGAGGAGATGAAGCGTTCGATCTCGGCCTTTACGCACTCACGTCCATGTTGTTTAGCTCCACTCCCAGTTTCACCACCCCTGTTCCTCCAGCAAAGAGCTTCATCGCCACGTTTGGCTCCCGCATCTTCCTCTCCCGTACTCGTTGCCCAGCAGGTTGGCCGTGCAGGTGACGATCAAGAGCGTGAGATGGAGAGACTGCCAGCTCTGGAGCATCGTCCACCACTGACGTCGTCAGGGAACTCGGGAATGATGAAACAGGTGTAAATAGGAAAATGCTACAACATGAGTATTTCCTGGTTGTGCCTTGATCTCTCCCTTGATCTGCTGTTTGTTTCCAGGGAACTTGTCCAGCTTGATCGCGATCCAGTAAGCAAAAGTTGTGAAGATTCAGCCCCTTTGTGTGATAAAGTCCTTCTTCACGTTTATCTGCATACTCCAGCTTGTGAAACTCCATTTACTTCTTCACAATGACCGAGCCGCAAGACTCCCGCCTAGATGAGACCACCTCTCAATTCAAGCTCTCAAGATGTCCTTGAAGATGTTGTGGAACGCCACCACAAGTCTGGAATACATCAAGCCACCGAGAACTTCTTGATCACTTTCTCCAGCTTTCCAACAGTTGGACGCCCTCGTAGAATCTGCGAGGTCCCCATCCTCTCCTGGAGATATCTCTCCACATTCCTGGCCACTGACTCTTAATGCTCACTCACCAGTGCCTTGTGGGCCATCAATGCACCTCGTACCCGCGACTGCGCCAGATCTAGCTCCCTCACCTTGCCAGCATGTCTACTCTACATGGTGCAGACGCCCATTCAGATTCTTCTCACAGCCCATTGTACTTATAAGATTCATGGTGCCAACGTCCATGAGATTAAGGATCTCTTAAGCATATTCATCATTAAGTCAGCTACTCATCTCTCCAATGAGTTATTTATTAAGGAGTACATTCATTAATATTATAATAAGAATTAAACCTTAAACCTTTATTATCATGTGATTTAAATTATTATGTACATTGGGCATTTTGGATAATTTTCTAGATTAGTTTGGGATTATTTAAGAACCCTTATAACAGTATGGTTTTGAGGATTTTGTAGCTAGAATGTTCAATATAAATCCATCTTTTCTCTAATGCCTTAAGACTTTTAATTTTTCGTGTATACCTACATTGGATACACTCAAACAAATGTTTGAATGATTCTTGCAATCAATTATCATAATACACAATAAGATCAATGGCAATTGTGAGAGATGTTATCCATTATTTTATTATTTTATTAGTAATTTAATTATTTCCCCTCCTCTCAATAACGAACTTCTAACAGTTTAAACACTTTCATATCCTAAAATCCTCTTCCTTAGGTATAATCAAATTTTGATACTCTACAGAAGTTATATCAAGAGTCAAAACAATTCAATATAGCATTGCACTCGCAACTCCACTATCATGGGCTTTTTGATTTAGAGCTAAAGATTAGTATGCAATTAAAGTTTAATGGCACATAGTCCAAGTTTTGTAGCTTTTTCAACTAAGTTGGATTTCAAATTGCTATGCAATTTGATTGATAGTCCACTCTAATTTATTATATAGACTTGATTAGATCTCCTTTTAGTGGAATGCCTCTTTGCCCTTTTTTAAAAAAGTGATTCTATTTTTTAGGACTTTAATCTCTTTGTTCAGCTGTGACATATGGATGCTTGCATTTTTTTCTTCTTGTTTTTCCAAAAAAGCTAGAGTTACTTAGCAGAAGTTCTGACTGACCAGTGGCTAATGCTTGAAAGGAGATGATGGTCCAATATTATTTCTGCACAAGGGATTGTAAATGCAAACAGCTGGTTCCAAGACAGACACAATGCCATTGAGGTGGCACATGCTTGTTGGAAGCTCCAGCCAATTACGACGTTTGAGATGGAGAGCTACGGGCTTTTCCAGCATTGAGGATGTTACTGACTAGCAGATTGCCACCTTGTAGAGGCCAATCGGCTGAGTATGCTGGAAACTGTCCTGTCTCATAGTCTGTAAACTGATCCAAGTTTGCCCAGGCTACTTGCTTCCAGTGACGCCCACCTTCTTCTTCCAGCCCCAGCAACACAAAGGCCCCAGGTATTCCATCATTACAATGGCCAGCCACCATCACCCTGTCTCCGTACCAGAAAGGATCCATTCTACAGTAAGAGTAGCGGCATTAAGACCTTGTGGCAGTGGGAAGTCATTCCAAACTTTGGCACCTGGAATTGCAATTGCAGTCCAGACTTTAGAGTGAGTATCATAAGCTTGCAACCTGCTATCTCAAAAGATGAGGTCCCTAGTAAGATTAGCCGTCAATATGCCACTACTAGTTGACAAGTTCCAGACTTGGGAGCTCAAGTGCCAAGTATAAATGGTGAAACATTCAGATTGTATGTGTGTCTAGAGCATATGGATGCTGAACTGCTCCTGGTTGCCTCTCATTTCCAACTTAACGTCACCCCAGGAGTAGAGCAGCCATTGGAGGCCCTCAGACATGATGTTATTTTTGTGAAAGCCACATAGCATGCCCAAGATGAGGCCATAGGAATGAAGCCCCATGGCAACAACCTGTTTGACACCACTCCTACCAGTTGTTCCTCTGGATACCAGGCGAGCACAGGTGGCCATGAGTGTCTGTCTTGGAACCTGCCTTCAGATCCTGTCCATGAGCAAAAGCACGCACTCCTTCCCCCTGGCTGAGATGTCCAGCTTTGGCAGATCGCTCAACACACTGATTTCCGATTAACTCTACCTCACCTTGCTGCTCTTTCTCAGCATCAGCTTCGTTGCAGTGCCGTCCCGCCTCCTCTTGCGTAAACGGGAAACCCTACGTTCTTCACACGTGGAAAGGATTCCACGAATTAAGATTTGACTCTGCCTTTGATGGGTCAACAAGATTTGAAAGAAGAAAATATTTATTCATATAGTTTAACAACGTTCAGGATTTAGAAACACTGTGATGATTGTTATTATTGTGCTACGTCGTCCATGTTTTCGGCCATGTCTTCGTATAACAATATAGTATTTCCAAATATCCAACTTAAGACTTCATAAATCACAGCCATGGCAACTTTGGAGCATTGGTAGGAACAACTTCAAATGCGATCAAGTAGTAATTTTTAGTTGCAGACCCAGCAGCCTTTGTGGTGATGGTGTATGACCTGCTGTTTTCTGGCTTGAACGAATTGTACTCATCATAGTAGACCCTCATATTGGTGCTGAACTTGTCATAATGGGTGCTCCAAGCACCTCCCTCTGTGTTGGAGTAGTACATCTTCACCCACGGGAAAGACACAATGGCGGATTGACGCTTGCTAAGGGTGAATTGAAGCTCCTGCAAAAGCAAGAAACCAATCTCAAGGCTATAAACTTTGTTTCCAAGTTGAGCATGCAAGTTCACGCACCTGAGGATTGGAATGGCTGCTGAGGTTCACCAACACTTCCCAAGAGTCATAGTCGTCACCATCAACCATGTAGTACGCCCTGAATTTCATATCCACGTTGTCCTCCTCGAACACGAAGCGCGCTACTTGGATCTCCTGCTCGGGCTTCGTGTAGATATGGATTGCCGGACGACCACTGACGAACACCTGGGGCATCGCATAGAAGTTCTTCTCTACACCGACCTTGGGGCGGAAGTTGAGCTGGTAGTGCGCCTTGGTATCCACAAGGTCGCAATCATCGTAGTACTCGTGGGGCTTCGCGATCAGGCAAGCCGCGCCGTTGTGCCATTCGGTGTGGAAGTTCATCACGCCGGCAGAGATCTGGAAGAGGCTCATGGCGACGCTGGCCATGCTGGGGTACTTGAATTCCCCCCCTTCTTTCACTAGCTTGGAGAGAGCATCGAACATGACTTGGTTGAGCGCGGATTTGATCCGGTCATTGATGTCTCTCTGGAAGTCGGCCACCTCCGAGGCTGAGTAGCCGCAATCTTTGGCGCTTTGGATCATCTCGCGGAGCAGCGTTGAGTACAATGCGAGCGCGGATCCGTAAGAGAGGAGTGTGTGCTTCATGTAGCTGGGCTGGGAGAAGAGATTGAGCATCTGGAGGAGCTGGGCCTTGCAGTTCTCGAATCGCACCACGATCTTCTGGGTGCCGACCGAGTTATCGTCCTTGAAGGCCTCGACCGAGACGTAGTAGTCCTGGCCCAGCTGGGAGATGGTGGCATTGGCAGCTCTTGCTTGATCCGCGATGTTTTCAGCCAGAGCTTGCTCGATCATCTTCCCCACCGCCTCGAACAGCGAATCCATAGCGGCCTTGTTCTGCTCCGCGGTGCGCCCCGCGAACGCAATGCTCCACACATGCCCGAATATGGCTTGCACGAAGGAGCCCACAACCGGGATCATCCCGAGGCCCAGCGAAATGCCCTCCTGGAACCCATCCAGGATGGCCTGATCAACATCAACATCCACCATCTTTCCTTGAAAGAATGAAAGGATTCGGAGCTCTGGAGCAAGATTAAAGCAAGACAAGCCGGATGAACTTGCGAGAGCAAGTAGGAAGGAACCCAATGTTATATCTGTGGAGCGGCTTGGGTCTTTTAAAGCATACGAGGAGGATATGCTTGCACAATGACGGGAGTACTTGTCGATCGATGCTTATCAGCTACAAGTGATCCGTCGCTTTCATTGTTCTGTATACGTAGTGAGCTGCAAGTTCTAGCGACCAAAACATCTTTACCACAATCGAAACCTAACAGTAACACCAGCAAGAACAACGTGGGAGGGAGAATCTTGAACAAGGCACAGGCGACAAGTTACGTTGTTTTCGCGGCTGCACGCGTACGATTCACGGATTAATTTGGATTTGCTGCTCTAGAAATTTCTAAATTGTGGCCCATCGAGATCAGCATGAGCTGTTTTGTCATATAGTGTCAGATCGGTACCGCCCATTTGCGTCTTTGTACGAGTGCCTCTGGCAAAATGGAGTTGCCCGACGAGGACAAGGAAAAGGTGGTCCTTCTTTCCTTCTTCAGGCCGTAGACATTGTGTTTACGAACTGGAAAGAAGCCATACTGCATGGCCACCCTGGAATGGGGACCCAACCAGTGCCCTCGTCCTCCTCTATGGTGTCGCATTTGGGGCTCCTGGAGCGCGACCTCTTGCCCAAGCGTAGCTAGAGTCATCGTTGTGAGTTGTGGGTTTGAACGCATTCCGGATTACTTTAAATAAACACCATTATAACGCAAGCTGTTCATGGAATTTCTCCTCCAGATAAGAACTTGCGAGCCAAACGTTTCTGTCAATAAATCACAATGAATTGGCACTTATCTACTCTCTTTGACAGCATTTGTTTGATCTTAGTACTTTGCCCCTCGAAAAGATTAAACACGCAAGCCTCGAAACTTTTTATAGGGAAGTATAGTATAAACAAAACAAAAGAGTTATTGGTGGCTTCAAACTAGTGCGGAGATGGATAAACGCATCGCAGCAGCAGCGCTTGCTTGCTCCAGTTCATCACTAACATTATTACTAGCTAGGATGTGGATGTGAGAGCAGGAAGGGGGAGTTGAAGGGTGGGTGCTTGTCCCGGACACATCCCCCTCAGCCACTCCCAGCCTTCCCCCTGGTACCCGTAGTCTCGCCTCGATTCATTGAGGCATTCTTCCTCGAGTTGAGAGCAACTCAATGTGCCACACCCTGAAAGGCACGTCACGAGGCTTGTCCACTACCCGGCGCTCCAGGAACAGCTGCTGTACACCCGCAAAGCCCTTCCTCAGCAGCTCCACAAACTTGGTGTTGCCAGACACAAAGACAATGGTGGAGGAGCAAGCCTTTATGTCGAAACCAGTGCCTGCTTCTGCAAACACGTTAGCCAACTCCACACACTCGGCATCGTCCTGCTGGCCATGGAGCGTGAGCCATTCGGTGATAACCTGTGAGAAAGGAGGAAGAATCACGAGCAGTGATCGATCAAGCAGGAACTCACCCTCCTTGGGTCGCCCAAACTTTGTGATCACCTTCCAGCCGGGTACCTGGTCGTAGTTGTGGTTTGCTAACAAGACACCAATGCGGAGACGCTTGGCCACCCAAGTGCCCACCTCTGTTCCTCGGAGGTGTGCATCGTTCAACGTCTGGTAGGCACCCTGTCGCAGAGGACGATGTCGCTCTTCTTCCCATCCTCGTCCAGAGGAGTGGCCGTTTTACGAACTGGAAAGAAGCCATGCTGCATGGCCACCACCTCGTCAAGTCCGGTGGGGTGGAGCTTGCCTGGAATGGGGACCCAACCACTGCCCTCGTCCTCCTCCGTGGTGTCGCGCCTGGGGCTCATGAATCGGCAGATCGGCATTGATCGTGACCGCCATCGACAACGCCATCGACACCAATGACAGCCGTGAATGGCTCCGAAGGTAATCTCCTCCCTTCCTCGCTCTCTCCTCCCTTCCTCCCATCGGCACGGCACGGCAGCAGCAAGGCAAGGCACGGCAGGGCAGGGCAGGGCAGGGCAAGGCAGCGGCACGGCCTCCACGGCGCGCCTGCCACGGCGCGGCCTCCACGGCGTGGCATCCACGGCGTGCCCGCCACGATGCGCCGCGCCGCGCCTAGAAAACATTCACATCTTTCTTTCATTGACTGATCATGTTTGCAACCAGCACAAATGGCGAAGAGGCTGTTAAGTTAGACTTCATCACTCGTCTCGCTGCTCGTTCCGCCACTTCCACATTGTTATAGATCCGAGAGGAGCCCAGCAGACATATCCAATCCTCGGCATCCGGGACAAAGGGCATGGTTTCCACAAGCTCCTCCGCGCGATCAACGTACCCGGATCTACCGAGAATGTCAACCATGCAGCTGTAGTGTTGCTTGCTCGCCTCCACACTGTGATCACTGCTAATGGAGCAGAAGCACTCCCATCCCACCCCGCAATCTCCCGCGTGGCTGCAAACAGCGAGCACGCAAGTGAAGCAAATCTCATCGGGTTTCAGGCCTTCGAGCTGGAGAAGCTTAAACAGATCCAACACTTGGTGAAACCCCCCATTGTGTGCATACGCCGTTAGCATGGCGGCCCAAGAGACAATATCTCGCTCCACCATGGAATCAAACTGCGACCGCGCCTCAACAAGATGCCCATTCTGAGCAAAAGCGGAGAGAATAGCATTGCAGGCTATAAGATCCCGTTGTGGCATTTCCGAAAACACTGCTCTTGCTTCTTCCAATCGCCGGTTTTGTGAGTAAGCCCATACCATTGCGGTCCACAACACCAAGTCCCTGGCGGGAATCCTATCAAACACAAACTTAGCAATCTCAAGATACCCTGTTTGGGCATATACATTAAGAAGTAAGCTCCACGCTGCTAGATTCCGTCCTGGCATATGATCAAAGGTTAGCTTCGTTTCATCCAAAGAAAGTCTTTGTGCGTAAGCTCCTAAGATGGTCGACCAAGAAGCCGAATCCGTGTGAGGCATCTTATCAAACAGGATATTTGCATCGAGAAGACATCCAAATCGGGTGTAGCATGCCAGCACGGCGTTCCAGACTACAAGATCACGGGCTGGCATCTCGTCAAAGAGAGCTTTCGCGTCTTCGAATTGGGTGATTGCCGAGAGCAAGCCAGTCCAAGAGACAGTGTTGCACTGCGGCATTCTCTCCAAGACCATCTGCGATTCAAGCGTCTTTCCACTCTGGGCATAGGCCACCAACATTCCATTCCACGAGACGTGATCCCTGACCGGCGAGCCATCAAAGACCTGCTTCGATCGCTCGCAGTGGTGCGCGAGCGCTGTGATGATTGAATTCGACGAAACAACGTTCCTCTCGGGCATTCTGTGGAAGAAGAGCTCCGCGGCTTGGAAATGCCCCCGCTGGGCATACGCCGCCAGCATGGCATTCCACGTCACAAGACTGCGCGCCGACATGGAGTCGAAGATGCGCTTGGATTCGTCCAGATGCCCGTGCTGGGCATGTGCCGACAAAGCTGTCGTCCACGAGAAGTAGTCCTTTTCGGGTGCCGCCGCCAAGATTTGTGTCATCTTGTGTAAGCTTTTGGTCTTGGCACACGAGGCGAGCACTGTATTCCACGACACGAGATCTCTTTGAGGCATTCTCTCAAAGCATTTGGAGGTGTCATCCAAATGCCCATGGCGGGCATTTGCTAAGAGGAAAGTGTTCCACGATACTTTATCTCTTTCGGGCATTAGGACAAACATTGTTCTCACAGATTGAAGTGTTCCAGTCTGTGAAACTCCAGAAAGAATTGCATTCCACGAGATTAACCCGCGAGCCGGCATTCGATCGAAGATTTCCTGAGCCATGCATGGGTTGCCCGCTGAGCCATAGGCCCCCAGGATTGTGTTCCACGACACCACATTTCTTTTGCCCGCCTGATCGAACATAGCTTTGGATTCGCGCAGCTCTCCATTCTGGGCGTAGGCTGCCACGATCGAGTTCCATGAGATGCAGTCCTTTGGGTGGAGCGAATCAAATACGGAGCGTGCGTCGGCAGTGCTGCCGCATCTGCCGTACATTTGGATGACCCAATGATGGAGTTGGATCGATGGGGGATGATGGGACGAGAACAAACACGAGTGCAAGTTCTTGGCATGGGAAAGGTTGCTGCATGTCTTTACAGCAAAGACAAGCTGTTCAAGCATAGTCCATCAATCTCCCCAAACCCTGGATTATTAAACCGATTTCATAATGCGGAGCTTTTAAATCGGAGCCTCTCACCCAAAAAACCATGCAATCATTTTGTACAGTTCTTGCGTCTTGAAGCTGCGGTTAGCAAACCTCTTACTGTGTTGTTATATCGATCTCCGCGGCTTAGTTTTTGGCTGCTGCTGGAGTGTTAGATTTGATGTAGTCGATTTCTTCCCTGCTGCAAATGCGTGAAGTCTTCTAGAGTTCAGGACTTGGCTTGTCTTCCGCACAAGGAGAAAAACACATGCCTCTAGTTGCTCGTGGAGTTTTCGTTGTGCATCGAGATACGAGTGAAAGAAAAAGGCACAGTGATTTACTTCAAAGCGAGTTTTGCGGGCCAGTGTTCTGTACTTTAGCACCTCCTTCATCCAGTCAAAGTGTAAATTCTTGTAGCCGTTCGTTCTATCAGATAATTAAATGAGTTCTCAATTCGTCGAAGTATCACAAGCCATGAATTTGTTTCTGAGGGCGCGGATTTGTCACAGATTGGCCTAAAATCTGTGAAGAAGCGCGTTTAGTTTCTTTCTTTGTGGATGATTGTGATCGAGTCTTTTCTGTTTCAAGACGCCATGAAGAATCGCAATGTGAGTGCTCTACAGCCTCCAATTTTGCATGGTTGTGTGTTTCCAGCTATCGAAACGCACGGTGGAGCAGCCACAACTGCGATTCCTGCGAGGAAGCAAATAAATTTCGCTCAAGTTATCATGCTCTTAACTTTTTCAACACTTCGTGGAGTTGTCGTTGAAACCGTGCTGTATCCGATTGATACTATCAAAACTCGACTTCAGGAAAGCTCCAATCTCTTCTTTTTCTCTTGTCCTGACTTAAGTTCTCCTGCATGCCTTTTTCTTTCTCTTTTCATTCAATATGAACCACGAGCGGGAAGATCGTGCTGAAAGGCCTGTATCCAGGTCTAGCCGGAAACCTCCTGGGAATTTTACCGTAAGAAAATCTTTACTGGAGAACTGGAATGATTTAGTTTCGGGGCGTCGCGATATTTGTTGGAGCTTACAAGCCTATGAAACGGAATGCGTTCTAGATCATTTATGGTAAGCTTGTAAGGCTTGCTTCTTTTGCGTTTCAAATTTACAGACTGCTGGTGCTACTGGAGGAGCATCTTTCGTCCGTGTTCCCACCGAAGTAATCCGAAGTAATCAAGCTTTTTAGTCTGTTTTTTTCTTCTTTTACGTCTCAAGTGGTGAAACAAAGCAAAGGGCGTCCAGAGTATTGTGAGCAACGAAGGTTTCAAGGGCCTCTGTGTTTGAAAGAAGAAAACTGTGGTTCCCGGTGCAGTGGCATGCTATTTGCAAATCAGGTGCACTGTATTTCCATTCGGCTTGTCAAAAACCAGGATGTAATTGCTTGAAGTGGCAGACTCGCAAGCCATATCAATGGAGGCTCGTCCACTGAGAATGCTAGAGGGCAGCACGAGCAACATTGCGGGAAACGATCCAGCAACACTCAGACTGCAAGATCCGACCAAAGCCTTGGTTCATGGAGTCATAGTCATACCTGGCATCACAACTAATCACAATGAGCCACGTGGATAATGCCATGGAGCAAACTCATTGTGTCTGGACCCTGGAAGGCCCAAATTAGTGTGCATCCTGCATGCCAATGCTTCTTTTACCACATTTCGTTCTACATTAGTAATGGAGTCATCCGGACACTCATGAGCGAGAACCAGGAAGATCTCGGTTTTGTATGGATCATCCGAGACGAGTACAAAATTATTTTCTGGTTACAAGAAACATGTCGTTAGTAATCCCATATAAGAGATTATATGGGAATGAGGTGCTGATTAGCTTAAGGTGTGACCATGTAAGTCATGGTATTCCCAGAGCTACATGTATTCGAGCCTAGATTCTTTGGCTTATCTGGTCAGAGCGAATAAGAGCAAGATATATGTGAATTTTTGCTTTAAACTTTAGGTTTTAGATTTTCACTCTATTGTAAATAGAATGTAAAGACAGATAAGGTAGTTATTGTGAGGCAGATATGTACTTATAGTTTCTATATATAAATACCCATGATGAGGCATTCGATGTGTGAGATGTTGAATTAACACATTAGACTGTATAAGGAGCTAAGCAACATAAAGCTAATGGGAGATTGAGAGATTTTAACATTCATTTAAAAAATTAAAACATTTCATAATAATTCTTTACTAAAATTTTCAACAATTGGAAAAACTATTTATGGAGATTCAAGTGCTTGGTAGCAGTAGAAGTGGAAGTTTGGCAATTCACAACCAATTCCATATACTAGTGGTAGGATTGAAGCCATAACAATAAACAAGAGTGTGTCAAAGCCAAAACCAAGAATAAAGTTTTGGGTAGTTAGCATTTTTTTATCAACTCTCTATGTCCATCATTTCAAACTAGCTAGGCAATATTTAAGCTTAGATTCAGGCTTTGATCAGCCACCTGATTGTGAGTGGGAGAGTTAAAGGTAGAGATGATTCTTATGCTATTGATTTCTGTGTATATGCACCCATCCATATACAATTAAGATATATAATTCTTTCAACTTGTATGTGTCACTTTATTGTTTTCATTTTATAGATAGAAGATTCTATATATTTTTTCTAAGATTTTATTTTAGCAATGATTAATTCAAATTTACCACTATAATCATGATCCATGCATGCCATAAATTTTGAGAAATTCACACTCAACCCTTGCGATCTGAGCCCTAGATCGCTGTTGGAAGAAGGATCATCCTTTCTCTCTCACACAGAAGCAAATGGATCATCAATCGAGAGGAAAGTAAAAGGGGAGACAAAGAGGAAGAAGGAGAGAAGAATTGAATAGTATTAAGCTCAGTAAATGGCTATGGTTGACTATTAGGCATCAATGTACATAGTGGTGTTCATATATCTACAACTCAATGCCATACAATTCATAGTAGAGGACCTGAGATAGGATCAAAAGTTAGTAAAAAAGCAGCAAACTAGATCATGGCCTTGTTAATATCTTGTATGACTTAAAATCAAGCAAAAACCAAATATAAAACTAAACCTCAGGTTTATTGTTGGCTTGTAGAGGTTAACATTAATTACCACTCTCCTCATCTTAGCAAATATCAACTTCTATTGTAGTCCATATTTCTTGTAGAACAACTAGCAAAAGCCATTGTTAATTTACACACCTTAGCTTAATTTTCCCATGAAAAACACAATGAATTAATGGTTAATCTCTCTAGTATGAGATTGTGTAGACAACTCTATCCCAAACTTTGCATGCTTCCAAATATAGAGAGCATCAATATATGAAATAACAACTCCTCATGGAAAAAGAGTTTTACTGCTTGCTTAACATTCATTGTTTCCATAATTATGATGAAATGTGCAATCTATGATAACCACCATCAAAATGTTATAACCTTTAAATTTAGACAAGCAAGTGATGAAATCAAGTGTCATATTCTAAAATGGATATCCCTATATTGAAATGTATTGCAACTTCTCAACTTATTTCTTAGTTCTTTTACATTGTTGGCAAGTAGGACAAAAATATACATAATCTATTATATCACCTTCCATATAAGGATAGAAAAATCTTTTATTTCAATAAGGCAAAAGTCTTTTATTTACTGCCATTTGGAACATCATGATCTTCCTGTAGAAACAACCATCATATATCCTTAGATGAAAGATGTAATCAGTGTGTTATTTTGACAACTTTACACAATGTAATATTGCATTTGCTAACATGTTACTTCCATCCAAACATTTTCCAACCAATCTGAATTGATTGCCGACATTGCTTGAAATTGAGCTTAACAACTCAATGCATTCAAAATAATATTGTTTTTACCAAATTTATAAATTTGATTGTGTTAAAAAATAATTTGCTATGTTTTACATGCAGCAACAAGCATTTGCTTAATAGTGGTGTTATTTCTATTTATTAATCTAATTGATCAAATGGAAGTTTATAATTATAAACATATTTATAATTTATAAACACAAGATTAATCTTATTGAATAATTAGATGGTTAAATATACTAGGAAGTGTTTTAGAAAATTTATAAATTATAAATATGTTTATAAATATATAATTAATTTAAATGAATAACAACCATTAGATGGTAAAATATAGAATATCAAAGTACCACCCACGTTTGCTTAAACAATCAAAATTTGGCAAAGTAGTTTAGAGAGTCTGGCCAAAATACATAATGTCCTAAAAATGAATATGCCCATGGAATGACTGACATGCTCATCATATGATACCCATAGTCTACATGAGTAATAAGTTCATGTATTACATTATATGCTCCTATATTTTACATGTATATTTACAACTGTCTGCAACCTCAAATTACATAGAATTATGTGGGACATGCCTATTCAAGATTCACCCTCCTTGCTAGTGCCAATGAGGTTTCGATTGTGGTAAAGATAATTGTTTGGTTGCTAAAACTTGCAGCTCACCATGTATACAAAATGATGAAAACAATGGACCACTTGTAGCTGAAAACCATCGATCGAATGCATATCCTCCTTATATGCCAAACCGCTGAGGAGCTCCACAGATATAACGTTGGGTTCCTTCTAACTTGCTCTCAAAGTTCATCCGGCTTCTTGCTTTAGTCTTGCTCCAGAGCTCTGAATCCTTTCATTCTTTCAATGGATCTTGCTATTGATCAGGCCATCCTGGATGGGTTCCAGGAGGGCATTTCGCTGGGCCTCGGGATGATCCCGGTTGTGGGCTCCTTCGTGCAAGCCATATTCGGGCATGTGTGGAGCATTGCGTTTGCGGGGCGCACCGCAGAGCAGAAAAAGGCCCCTATGGATTTGCTGTTCGAGGCGGGTGGGGAAGATGATCGAGCAAGCTCTGGCTGAAAACATCGCGGATCAAGCAAGAGCTGCCAATGCCACCATCTCCCAGCTGAGCCAGGACTACTACGTCTCGGTCGAGTGGTGCGATTCGAGAACTGCAAGGCCCAGCTTCTCCAGATGCTCAATCTCTTCTCCCAGCCCAGCTACATGAAGCACACACTCCTCTCTTACGGATCCGCGCTCGCATTGTACTCAACGCTGCTCCGCGAGATGATCCAAAGCGCCGAAGATTGCGGCTACTCAGCCTCGGACGTGGCCAACTTCCAGAGAGACATCAATGACCGGATCAAGTCATGTTCAATGCTCTCTCCAAGCTGGTGAAAGAAGGGGGCGAATTTAAGTAACCCAGCATGGCCAGCGTCGGCATGATGAACTTCCACACCGAATGGCACAAAGGCGCGGCTAACCTGATCGCGAAGCCCCACGAGTACTATGCTGGTTATGCGGATTACGCGGACGCGGATTGTGGATACCAAGGCGCACTACCAGCTCAACTTCCTCCCCAAGGTCGGTGTCAAGAAGAACTTCTATGCGATGCCCCAGGTGTTCGTCAGTGGTTGTCCGGCAATCCATGTCTACACGATGCCCGAGCAGGAGATTCAAGTAGCGAGCTTCGTGTTCGAGGAGGACCACGTGGAGATGAAATTCAGGGCGTACTACATGGTTGATGGTGACGACTATGACTCTTGGGGAAGTGTTGGTGAACGTCAGCAGCTTTTCCAATCCTCAGGTGCGTAAACTCTTTTCGATACATCAACTGTGCTCAATTTGGAAAAAAAGTTCATAGCTCTGAGATTGTTTTTCTTGAATTTGCAGGATGGCTTGCCATTTTCTGGCTTGAACGAATTGTACTCATCATAGTAAACCCTCATAATGGTGCTCATGGGTGCTCCAAGCACCTGTTGGAGTAGTATTTCAATTCAACCTTAAGGCAAAATCCGCCATTGTGTCTTTCCCGTGGGTGAAAATGTACACCATCACCACAAAGGTTGCTGGGTCTGCTACTACTTGATCGCATTTGAAGTTGTTCCTACCAATGCTCCAAAGTTGCCATCGCTGTGATTTATGAAGTCTTAAGTTGGATAATTTGGAAATACTATATTATTACTATACGAAGACATGACCGAATACGGTAATAACAATCTGCTAAACTATATGCAGCCGTCAAATCTTAATCCTTTCCACGTGTACAAAGTTAAGAGCTTCATCTCATCCTTGAGACCTCAGCTTTCAAGATAAGCTTATGATACTCACTCTAAAGCCTGGACTTCAGGTCTTCAAAGCTACTGTAGAGTAGATCCTCAAGGTGATGGTGATTGAAGAAGAGCATGGGCAACCCTAGACCAGTTTGCAGAGTACAAGTCAAGACAGTTTCCAGCATACTCATCCGACTGGCCTCGGCGATGTGCTAGTCATAACATGCTCGATACTGGAAAGGCCATGTCGTAATTGTCTGGAGCTTCCATCAAGCGTGTGCCGTCTTAATCTCCAGCCCATTTGCATCCGCAATCCAAAGAATTAATATTAAAGTACAAACAAAGAAGAGAATCGTATAATTTCAAGCGTTAGGTGCCTCTGCGTTTACACTGCTAAATAACTTGGAAAAACAAAGGGACAAGAAATGCACGCCATAGTGTGAGTGTCACAGACGCAAAAAGTGTTTAGAGTCCAGTTGAATCTTGAAATATGAAAATGTATTATACAATTTCAAGAGATTCTATTGTTTGCAAGAAAAGCTCGAAAGTAGGATTTTCTTTTAGGGTTCTTGGCCGCGATGGCGGAAGGAGAGGATCCGCCGCCCAAGGCTTTCAAGTTTTCGTGCACGCCCGCATTGGATGCGCTCTGGTTTTGCTACTGTAAGTGTGTGCTCCTTCACATTCATAGCATCTAAATGTTTTTTTTGGCTCTCGCAGCGCCCGTATTCCAGCTCCGAGAATACTACCGGGAAGGCACCTTCAACACTTGCACAGACAAATTCTGGGATGTGATGAACTGCTTCCGCCTCAAGACGAAGAAACTGGCCGAGGCTCAGGTCAATCTCTCTCGCTCTCGCTCACTCCAGAGTGAGTTTCTTACGATTTCTCCGCAGGTAATCATCGAAAGCGAGAATCGGAAGCGCGAGCAACCGCTGTTTTGGGAGCTGCGATCCAAGGAAGAAGCAACCGAAGCCTGGAACAAAGATTTCCCCGATATGAAGGAGAGTGATGGTCTTTAAATCCTCGTTCTCAGCAAGAAAGTGGTCCTCAAGAGATCAAACTTTGCTCGTGACGATCTGGATCATTCCAACGAAGATCTAGACATTGCCAAGGAATTCCTTCTCAAGCCCGCTTTCCACTGTTGGGATTGGATTGAGGGACGAGCACCTTGCGGCCCTTTCGCCGCCGCCGCCGCAGCACATTCCTCCCGCCGGGCGTCGACATCCTCTTCCGGAATCCCTGCGCCCTCGCCCGCGACTTGCGAGACCTGGATCTCTTGGTGCATGCCATGGATGCCTTGCCCGCTCTCACTACCAGCTGCCGCGGCCGCTTCTTCGCTCCATCCACGCACACCGGCGCCGAGAAGAGCCCCCACGACGATCCTCCTGTGAGATTCTAGCGTTGAATCGATTGGTGAGGGAAGGAATCAATCGGACCTGAGAAGAGCGCTCCCCGCGCGGATGAGAGAGACGACGCCGCGGCCGTGGGCGCGAACGAGGACGCATCGAGACCTAATCGAGAGGAGGAGGAGGAGATTGGGCGTAGGGCGAGTGTTCTTCCCAGCGATGGTGCCATAGCCATTGCGAGCGCCATCTTATCCCCTGTTTTTCACAAACCCTAAAAAGGTAAAGGGGTAAAGCAACATGGAATAGTTATTTCCCCTTTCATGGCATTTGCCCTAACCCCAAGCTCCACTCTTCTTGGCAAATCCCACGCCCTAGACAACGATTTCGTTGCGAGGTATGCCGATCTCATCCGCCAGTGCCGCGATTCTGGCGCTCTCGCCCAGGGCAAGCTCCTCCACGCGCGGCTCGCGAGATCGCTGCTCGACACCCACACATTCCTGGGAAATCTCCTCGTCGAGATGTATGGGAGATGCGGCAGCACCGCCGACGCTGCCGCGGCCTTCGATCGAATCGCGAATCGCAATGTTTTCTCCTGGACGATCCTCATCGCGGCATTTGCCCGGAATGGCCAATCCGTGCCAGCGATGGTGGCGTTCCAGCAAATGGATCTGGAAGGGGTTCGCCCAAACAAGGTCACGTTCTTGGCTATGGTGGACGCGTGCTCTGGCTATGGCTGCCCTGCCCAGGCACTGGATCTTCACCAGCGAGTCCTCGCATCGATCGAATTCGATCTTGTGCTTGCGACCGCGATCATCAGCATGCTGGGGAAGTGTGGGATCATCGCCGCCGCGGAGGAGGAATTCCTGGCCAATCTCGAGGAAATCGAGAGCAAGCGATGCGTGATCGCGTGGAATGCCATGCTTGCTGCGTATGCCCGCAATGGTTGCCATCGCGAGTGCCTGGATCTCTTCCAAGAGATCGTGGAGCTCGATCAGGGTTTGCCCGACGCTGCGACAATCGCCTCTGCCCTCTCGGCGTGTTGCGATCCCAAGTTCTTGGATCCAGGGAAAGCAATCCACGCAAGAGCGATCGCTGACGACCGGATGGATCGATCCACCGTGGTGGGAAATTGCATCGTGAGAATGTACGCTCAGTGCCAGAGCTTTGACGATTCGATGGCCGCATTTGAAGAGATCACTGCCAAGAACGCCGTGTCATGGTCGATCGCGATGGCGGCGCTCGTCCAGGCCGGGCGATCCGATGAGGCCGCGCGATTGCTGTGGCGGATGGATCTGGATGGAACCAAGCCAGACAAGATCGCAATGGTGAGCACGATTGGCACATTTGGCGAAAGCATCCCCCCAATCTCCAATCCAAGACCCCAAGAACTCGCCGCGAGGGCTCGCGCAGCTGGATTACACACCGATCCCTTCGTCGGCAGCGCGATCGTGAGCATGCTTGCTCGATCCGGGATCTTGGACGATGCGTGTGAATCGTTTGCCGAGGTCTCGGACAAGCGCGATATCGTGGTGTGGAATTCTTTGCTAGCGGCACTGGAGAGCCAGGAAGCGATCGAGCTCTTCCATCGCCTGTGCTTGGAAGGAATTGCCCCAAATCCAGCCACCCTCGTCAGCGTCTTCGATGCGTTGTCCACGCTTGGCTGCGATGATCGTGATCGCGCGCTCGCGATGGCGATCAAATTGGAGTCACTGATCGCGAGCTCGATGGATCTATCATCCAATCCATCAATGCTGCTCGTCCTAGAGAATTCGATGATCAACGCGTTTGGCAAGCTTGGCAGCCTCGCGGACGCGCGGCGGATCTTCGATGGGATGAGGAATCGCAGCGTCGTGTCGTGGACCGCGATGATCGATGCGTACGCGCGGCAGGGATTCCATCGCGAGGCGCTTGTTCTCTTTGAGCAGATGGATTTCGATCAAGAGATCCAGCCCAACGATTTCACCTTGAGCACCATCCTCGCGTCGTGTGCGAGAGTGGGAGAGATTGCCAAGATCCATGCGAGAGCTCAGTCGATTCATGGGGATCTAGATCTTGGCGCTGTGGTTGGATCGGCCTTGATCGCCAGCTATGGCGATTGCGGCTGCGTGGAGGAATCTCTCAGGGTCTTCCAAGAAATCAAATGCAAGAATACCGTGACATGGAACGCGATGATCGAGGCTCTTGCCAAGAACAATCAAGCCGGCGATGCGATCCACCTCCTCCACACGATGGATCTCGAGGGCGTAAAAGCCAGCGCCGCCACGCTCGCCATTGCGATCTCTGCGTGCTCGCAGCTGGGCAGGATCGATCAAGCTCGCGAGATCCACGCTCGAGCGGCGGCGATCAACCTGGGCGATGGCGATCAGCGCGAAATATTGGGCGTGGCGATGATCAACCTGTATGGCAGGGGAGGATTGCTGCCTGATGCTCGCCGATCCTTCCAAGATCTCGCGAAGAGCAACACACGCGCATCGATAAGCTCATGGAACGCGATCGTTGCCGCGATCGCTCGCGCGGGTGATTCCAGGGGCGTGGTGGAGGCATTCCACTCGATCCATCTGGAGGGACTGGAGCCGAATCAAGCGACCTTCTGGCAGTTGCTAGCGTCGTGCTGCCACACGGGATTGCTGGACGAGGTGTGGGAGAGATTTATCTACATGAGGGAAGATCACGGAGTAGAACAGGCAAAGAGGCACTGGAGCTCGGTGGTGGATGCCCTGGCGAGGGCGGGATCCATGGGAGATGCCGCGGATGTAGCCCGGACAATGCCCTTCCGCCCTAGCACCGCAGTGTGGAAGATCTTGCTCCATGCGTGCCAGATCCATGGTGAGGGCTGGGGTAGTGCCCACGGCGCCGCTCGCGAGGCGTCGAGGCTTCGCCCCATGGACGCCGTGCCCTATGTGCTGCTGGCCAACATGTATGCCACCTCATGACACGTCAACTGTATACACCGTCCAGGTGGACCAACCCCCGAGCTCCTTTCTTTCCTGTATATTGGAAATCGATGAGAGAAGATATGGGCAAAAGCTGGTATTTTATCGCTAGTTTACACACGCGGATGCTCTAGGGCAAGCTTGAGGATGGTGGAGAGCGCGGGCTGGGGCTAGGGCTACTGGGAATCACAGGCTCCGCCACGATGATCCGGCGGTGGCGGCGCGGCAAGAGCGGCAAGAGTGGCTGCGGTGGCATTGTGGAGAGATGGCGGCGGCGGCGATCATCGCTCGATGAGAGCGAGCAGCAGCAGCAGGATTTGGATCACCAGGATCGATTCGCTTGCAAGCGCGTGTGCGCGTCGGATCGGATGATGAAGCGAGTGGGCAGCTTTGCAAAGGATGTGACGCCCAGTTCGTGCGTCACTGTGTGTGGGGTCTCGGATTTGGATGCTTGTGCCGAGGCATGCGCTCGATCTGTTTGTTCTACGCAGCATCACGTCCCCAATTGGAATGATGTTTGTATGCGGCGATGCCAGAGCGAGTGCCTAAGATCATGAGGGTATCAATGCAGAGAATTTTTTTCTCCTATACTGCGTTCTTCGTTCTTTTGTGAAACGAAAACGATCGCAAGGAGAAAAGGCTCTCGTGGCCAAAACGCCGCCCTTGGATCACGCGTTCTATTAGGTAGTTTGAATTTTAGGGCTCTTGGCGATGACGGCCATGGAGGGAGTTCGCCGGCGGATGAGCGCTCTCGAGGCGGCGACGCAAGCTATGACGAAGCTCACGCAGAGGTAGGCGCCGGAGGCATAATGTAGCTTAGCTGATGCAGTGATTCATCGATCGCCTCGAAATACTTCTTCCAGTGATCCCATCCCGCAAGAAGATCACGATTTCATAGCTCGGCATCCGACATGGGAGGATCAGCTGCCTCCGATTCATGGGGTGAGCAAAGCAGCGCCGGATCGCGACCGAGCAGCGTCATCATCTTCGTCTGCCGCATTGATTGCCGCACTGGCCCCAGCGATTCCCGATTCCCCGGCAACCAAGAACTGGAAGAGGGCTTACACTGCAATCAAGAGGCTCATGGTAACTTTACTTCTTTCGACTTTAGAGAGTCCTTATTTTCTGTTTCTAGAATATAAGAAGAAAGGCGAGGCGGACTGCTGTCGGGACTGGAGCAAGAATGGAGGGCACTGCGCTTGGAATTTGGAGCCTCTACAGCCCGTCACGCTTATACATTTTCAGGCTTCTCTACAATCAGTACGTGGATAGAAGTTTATCATCCTTCCTCTAACAGGCTTTGGTGGCAGGAGAGCCGAGTATGTTGTTGTGTTTCTTATATGCTCCCATATGGTAGTGCTTATCTTCCAAGCGATGGCTGGGTCTAGGCACGAACGATGGACACACGTCCGGAGTTTCAACATCGATTTCCTGGACGGGCTCATCACGGCGCTTTATACGTAATTTGTTTCCCTCTTCGAGGTTTCCCCTCACACTTGTGTTTGCAGGATTGAAATGGTTTTACGAATTTCGGCTCTTGGTTTTATCAACGGCCGTCACTGCTACATGCGGAATCCGTACAATAGGCTCGACTTTGTCATTGTTTTCGATTCCTGGTATTGTTGAGGTTTTGTATCTGATGGTCGTAAGTGTTTCACCAGCTCTTTGCGAGGTGCAGGGTACATATCATTGCTCGAGGTGTAACTGGACATGATTTTTTCGCGCGGATAGCCGTGTTCCGCGTGTTTCGTGGCCTGCTAGCGTTGAAGCACGTCACATTTTTTGCCGATGTCATAGTATGGTTTGTAAAATTTTGATTTGTGCATTGTTAACACTTGACAATAGGC